GAAACCTTGCGACCAAGTGATAGTGAGGTCAATACGGCAGGGCTGAGGTTTAAGATCTCCCCATCCAGATCGAACATTTGAGATTAATAAGCAGTTTATTATATAGCTTTTTTGGGGGTTTTACAGGTCCGTAATTGGCCCATGGGCATTACGTGAGAATAATGCCCTAGTCTTAGCCAATCAGAGCAGGCATCATATCAGCTACAAACACAAGTAACATAATAGAGAGTAACACTTATTATTTTGTTGGCTAGACTATTAAACCCAGTCTGTAGAATCATTTCTGCCAACACGTTCATCTGGCTCTGTATGAACAGCTACTGAAAGTCTCTCTGGTTCACTCTCCTCCATGGCTTTGCTGACAGAGGACTGTCTGGGACACACCCTTTGGGGTAAGTTAACATCTACCCCTTCGACTTTGCCATTTTCTTCATAACACTCCACCACCACATTCTGGTTCAGTGCTGCCCATCTCTTTGAATACTGTTTAAAATGTTTCAAACTGTCAAAGTACAAACCACCAACAGCCAAAGCGATGAACAAACCATTGACCATGTAAGCAAACTTCACTTCCTCAGTGGTTCGCTCAGCGATTGCTGATGGAGTCCTACTGACACGTGACCAGATAATCCACGTCACGGAAGTGAGTAGCATTGTTGCAAAAGCAATGAAAAGCCCAATGTGTAGCCACCCTTTGGTGCTTACTTCAGGAAAACTCCACTGCAAAAATCAGTAGTTTGGAAAGAACAGCAGGTGAGGGAATTGTCATACTATTATGAACTATTATGAACAGAAGCTTACGAATAGCAGTTAATATATAATATTTACTATTCTAGATGGTTGATTCTGACTTGTACATCTGTTAATGACACTCAAAAGGACATATTCTGAGAAGTGAACAGCTTTCTGAGAGAAAATACTCAAGGAAAACTGCTAGCTTCAAGGAACACTGAATGATAATGTCCCAGGACAAATATCTGGGCATATTTGTTACGTCAAATGGGGGCTATTGTGTTTATTATCCTTCAAATATTTTTTGCAACACTCACATATTCCACACTTTTAGCCGGAGAACATTTACTTATGTGACACTTTTAGACTAGTCACATGTGAGCAAAAGCATTTGATGGATTATAATGAATCAGAACAAACCTTCCAGAAGCACTTCACACTATGCTTCTTTGTCCTAAATTTGAACTTGCACAGCTCACAGCTTTCATGTCCAGATTTTGAAACCCAGTTCAATATACAACTCTGATGGGCATACTTAACAGTTCCAGTGCATTTGCAAGGTCTTATGAGCTCCTCATCTTCATCACCACTGTGACAAATGCGACACATCAGGCCACAACTTTCTCGCAATTCAGTAAGCTTGCTGAGTGACGAACAAATGCTTTGATCTTTTGAACTGTTCCTGCTGGGCTGCTTAACCTTTAAAATAGCACTCCTTAGAATGGATGCTGAACTACTCCTGATCGTGGTCAAGTTATTACATGAGTCACGTAATAAATGAGATGTATTCTCGCTCTTTGAACCAACAGAATTCAATACCAATAAACTTTGTGACTTTTTTCTCTTTTTAGACTTGTGACTGTTACTGACATTCTCTTTTATGACAGGCCCCTGTTGCGTGCAAAAGAAGCAGTATCCTGCAGATGATGAACTTGCACCACTCTCTATAACTAACATACCAGGACCTTGACATTCAGTGACAGAAGTTTTCTCCGGAACGTCCTTAGAACATTTGAAATCTTCTGCTTCCAGTTTTTCTGAATCTGATTCTGTTGACAGTAAAAGCGGTTCACTGGCCATACCAAGTTTGTTACTAATATTGCAATGGCTGCGTCTTGTTGAACAGGAACTAATAACACTGTTCTGGCTCAAACAGGGCAAACTTGTAGCAGATAGCTGGAAAATAAAGGACATAATACAATAAAATTACTTTAAGGTGATAAAACAAAGACAAGGAAAGTTATTAAATACTGACGATACTATTTCAACGTTTGTTATTTTATAAGCATCCTCGGAGACCAAGAGCAAAAACTTGGATTACAAAACCAGAAGTTAAAATAAAATGGGATTTTCTTGACATTCTATACAGCCCCAATTAGGGTTAAAGGATTTCATTAACAGCGTGGCAACTGGTTTTCACAGGTGGGAAAAATGTTTTGAACTGAACATCTTTATACAAAAACTTTCTTCTAGATGGTTAAACCAAGCAGACAAAATTATCCTCATAGCCAGTCAATTTGCCCAGTGCCCAGCCCTTAATAAACACCCTTAGGGCTGCAATCTTGGACAAAATAAATGGAACATCTGGACCACCCCTCCCCCCATTTCAATGATGCCAAAATGGCGCGCTTTTGCTCCTTCGTGCCTTCATCATTGCTTTGGGGGGGATGGGGCATAATTGTTCCATTTTATTCTGTCCAAGATTGTGGCATGGGTCTGGGTGTGGACTAAATTCCTATTCATTGAAAAAAAAATTAAGAACAAAGCCTAATCATCAAAATAGTAGTAACACTAATTTGAGCTGAAAGGAATAAAAGAATGACTCATCAAGAACAAATTATCCTTCATGAAGTATTTGAAAACTGAAATAACACAACATGGTTATCTTATTTGCCCTTCAATCTCTACTTTTCAACTACAAATCAACCAATGGTGTATAAATCCAGAAAAAAGGTAGTTAGGAAATAAACAAAAATTCCTGCAAGAACAACAGCTACATAGGTCAGAAAAACTGAAATACAAGCAATTTTAGTTTAATGTGTAATAATAATTATTGAGGCATTTATACATGTTAAAATACTGAATGAATTCAAGGATTTTCTGAAAGGATCGAACTTTGCAGATATACTCCTTTTCGAATTTTCTTATCTCCTATACTTTCGCACTAGGTTCAAGTCTTCCCAAAGACTCGTACAATTTGTTAGAACTTGTTTCCGCACTGAACTAAGGAACCGTAATTAAATTTTGATTGCGCTATATTTCATTCAAGGTTGTAGCTATATATCATGCAAATTGAGCAGAAAGCCTGTTGATAATCATGATTTAGCATTAATTCTTCACTACCAGTTCGTGTTTCGTTTGATACGCTGAAACCCGCTAAGTCAAACCTTATCCAGCACAATGATGTGGTAAATACAGTCTAACCCCCCGACCTTAGCCTTCCGTTCTTATTTTTCGATTGTCTCAGTAGATATCTAATTAACGGGACATTTCCCT